CGGGCATGTGAGTTAGGGGTGAGGCTGGTTTTGGGTGCAGCTGCTTCACACAGACACACTCAGACTCAGGCCCATGCTGTGGTCTAACCTGAGGCCCTGCCCCGAGGCTCTGTACGAGAGTTATGCCCCCGCGCTGCAGAGAGGACACACAAACACGTTACACTACGTCTGCCACACACACACACACACACCAAAAACATTATCTGTGAAATAAGGTTTTGACATAAACACTCACTGCAACTCTAAACATCGTTTATCTTGCTACTAAGTAAAGACCATTAAAATCTCTGCCTAGTTAAATAAAGTCTTCAGTCCTTTAAAAAATAAAATAAACATGCACCGAGCTTTGGTCGGGTTGGTCAAAGTCAGTTAGCACAATAAAGGAAATCAGGACTCCTCGGAACAGAACGACCGCGGCTTAACTCCAAGCTTAATCTGGACTCCGGGGAAACACGGCGAGCATTTACATAACGAGCTTAATTACTCAGGAGGGCGACTGCGTTGCCTCTCATACAGAGTGGGGTGTTTGACGTGTGTACATCAACACAGCAGAGTGACATCGTGTCAGACGAGCGAAGGCGTGGCATGGAGGTAGATCGAGGGTCAGCTGCTGTGTTGTGCAACAGCATGCGATGGGTGTGTGTGCGTCTGTGTGTACTTGCCTCTCCTGCCGCCCTCTGATGGGATACCCTCAGTGGCCGCATATGGGTCCTCTTTGAACCTGTGAAAACAGCCACAGGGTTACACACACATCAAACGTTAGCGTCCTCTCTGCCACGTCAGTCTGTCGCCATCTTTATCCCAGCAGATGCCTTCCATCGTGCTTCCTCTTCCTCCCCCTCCATCTTTGTAAAATCACTAAAGTTCTGTAGCACAGCTTTAGTAAACCCAACATAAGCGGCACTATTTCAGACACTACAGACTACTACTACACAACACAGATATTCAACGAGGGTTTCAAAGTCTGGACTTTTGCAGGACCAACCAAGGACAGTCAGACTGGTCCTGAAGCCTCATGAATGCTGTGGCTCACTACACTCTAACCTACTTTGCTGCATTTATTCTCCCTTGAACGGCGCTCCTGCCACTGAGAAGCATCTCCTTTCAATTCCATCTGATAAAGTCCGAGCAGGTTGTCCAGCTGCTCTGCTGTGAAGGGCTGATTGATGGAGTCCTGCTGAGATGATCGTCCCTCCGGCTCCGTCTCTAAACTCTGCAGATGACTTCTGAAGCTCCATCAAAGTCACTGTCAGGTTTCTGGTCACCTCTCCTTGAGATTGTAAGCATCTTCCACTTCAATACTGTGCCGACTCTCAGACTCTGAACGGTTTTTGATCCATTTCTTTGCCACAGTTTTATCTAAGAGCTCTGCAGAGGCCTTTGATAAGCTCGAGGAGGTGGCTGGGGAGAAGGAGGTCTGAGTTTCTCTGCTGGGGCTCCTGCCCCCTCAATGCTCTATCAAAGTGACTCGATGGATGAACTGATGTGCAGAGGCTGCCTTAAGACTTCCTGACATCTTTTTGTTCTGCAGTTTGAATTATGGGATCTTAGTTTACTTTTAAAAGAAAGACTCTTACATGTTGTCCGTCTTCTGTGCGTCCCACTCTCGTCTCCACTGGCCTGTGGCGTTACGATGGCGTGCTAATCTCTCCTCATCTATCTGCTCACGCTCCTTCTTCCAGCGCAGGTACTCTGCTCTTTCCCGACCGGTCATAGACATCGTCATATCCATAGAGCCTTTGGGACCAGGTCTCCGGCTCTGCACAGAAGTCAGAGTAAATAATTCAGCCACAGGAGTTTAAATAAAGACAAAGGTAATGCTCATAAACAGAACCACCCAAAGAAGTACTCACGGTCCACTCTTTTTCCAGCTCAGACCCTGTCTTCACATTGTCAAAGTCCAGTCCCCCCCAGTTTCGGACATGTCTCCGGCTGCCCTCCTTGCGGTCCGTGTCCGGGGCCGGACCTGAACGTCTCGGGTCATCCAGGAAGTTACGGGTCGGTTTGTCTCCATCCTGCTGTGAAACGGAACGACTCTGTTCAGCTCAGGCTAGTTCCTCGCTAAAAAATGATTTTAAAAAAGCAAAACAAACAAAAATACTGCGCAGAAGAACCACACGATTTAAATGTGAGACCAAAGCAGAGACAGTTAGCTTCATAACACTTGATCTTATGGGAAATTTATGTTATAGTAATTTAAGAGGATAAATAAACACATCTGGTGTGTGTACAGTCATAACAATCCAACAATTGATGCATCTACACACATCTCTGCTATATTAAGCAAATTAAACTCCAATAAAAATAAGTGGTTATTAAAGTTTTATTATAATGTTGATAGTTTTTGTCTTTCAGAGCTTTGTCTGTAAAATCCATTTTTCCAGAAATCAAACCCGCTACGACACATGGCAGCTGAAAAACCAGTGACTTCCATACCCGCTGTCCTCTCTCATACTCTGCTATCCTCTCCATTTCTTCATTCATCTTCTCAATGTTCTGTCGTCTCTTCTCCTCCCATTCCTGTCAGGAAGTTTGTGACATTTGAGTTATTATTGAACAGGATGTTAGTGTTACAACAGTTTTAACAATACTGGAAAATGACTGCATCGTCCAAGTTACAAAGTCCTCCACCAGGAGGTAACTGCAGCAGATTTTTGAGCCAAAATACATTTTTTCTGCAGTATTTTCCCAAAAATCCCAGTTTTAGTACTTCTGTGTTTTAATAATTAAACTGTCTGGGACCAAAGTTAGAACACGTGCCGTGGCTACAGCAATACTTTTGTAGATGTTACATACACATGTAAATTCTTTGTATCATGTTTTTTCTACACACTGAAATCATCCGAGCTCCTGTTTTAAACTGAAACTCAACATTCGGTGCTTAAAGCACAAGAACAGAAGCAGCTTTGAACATTCACAGGTCGTGCACTCGAATTTAAACAAGACACACAACTGGATATGGATTCGCTCGGTTTATAGATCATTTATAGATTATAGATCTTTCGTTTATTATTTCCCTTTAATATGAATTTTTTAATATATGACAACAAATGTGACATATTCTCAAACCTCTGAATGGACTTTAACAGTTAATAAATTAAGCTAAGCCCCATGAGACTTCATTGATACATGACTTCAAGTAATCGCACTACCATGTATACCACACAGTCACACTCTAAATGCATTATCTTCAGTGTCTCGCATCGAGCAGCATGCAGCTGCATCCTGTGTGAAAACCTCCCTCAAACAGTTCATCCTCACCCACCTTGGATTTCCTGTCCATTCCTCCTGGTGTCCCTTCTCCTCCTCCTCCTCCTCCTCCTCCTCCTCCTCCTCCTCCTC